AAACATGCAAATAGTATATACCTACTTTGTGCCAGTCAGTGGTGTGGTGGTTAAAGTGGCTGAATCCCACTCGGCCAACTGCACATTTAGAGTCTTGGACCCAAAGACTTGAGAAACACACCAAACACATGTCCATTGGTGCCCCAAATCCCTAGAAGAGAATGAAGGAGAAGAGATAACAGCGTGACCATCTCCCTCTGAGGTGAGAGATGCAGAGTGCTTTCTCTACTCTCTCCCTCTTTCTCTCTCTCTCTGGTGAATACACGTGCCTTATAGAAAACTTAAAAAAAAAAAGTGTACCTACTTCATGGAATTGCTATAGGAACTAAAGCTAGTTAATGTATCTCAGGCACTTAAAAGTATGTCTAGCAATATAAAGTGTTACGTAAATACTATTATTTACTATACAATGTTATTACTTATATTCCCAGTGCAAGAATGCATATCTTATATCTGATTACCAGTAGAATCTATTACAAATTTCATGTTAATACCTGGAAGAAACTTCTGTTACAGATTTGCAAGCTATATGAAATTTAAACTTCCTCTCTCTTAATCAGATGTCATGTGATCTTTATATGTCCCTACTCAATATATACTGAATGTCTGTACTCTGTGGCAGAAGATAGACATTCTTCTGTGGAAGGAGGGTAAGAAATGAGGGAGGGTGGGACCAGCAGTTAGCATAATGGCTGTGTCACTGGACTCCCATGTCGTCGACTGCAGTTTTGAGTCCTGGACCTGGTGACTTAAACTCATGCCAGGCACATGCACGTGTGTGCCCAAGATCCTGAGAGGAGAATAAAGGAGAAGGGATTATGGCATGGCCATCCCCCCTGGGAGGGGGGGTGATTCCTCGCTTTCTATCTCTCTGTCTCTCTCTGTCTTTCTGGCGAGCACATACGCCCTATAGCAAAAACCTCTCCAAAAAAAAAAGAGGGAGGGTTTCGGAAGGAGGGAATCAAGGGAAAAAAGGAAAACATTTAATGGACACAAAAATGGAAAACTATTGATGATAATACGTATGATAGTATCTTTTACTGTACTAATACACCCATCTATTTAGAGCAAACTATCTCAAGTGCATTTTCTTTTAGAGTCTCTTGTTTTTAAGTTTTCAGTTCTGTTCTACTTTTTAATCTTATATTTATGTTTATTTCAATTTCTTTTATTTGTTTTATAAAATTTAAGCTTATTTTCCCAGCTTAAATTTAAAATAGAAATGAGCTTCTTTTCTTTTTGTAAACCCTGGGACATTAATAGTTCTGTACCAGGACTTTGAACAAGAGCAAGTTGCATTAGTAACTCTGTGAGTTGGGCAGTAGGTATGTTATTAAGCAGTGAATGTTGATTTTTGTTATTACCTGAATCCTAAGTGCAGCTTAGTAAAATTGGATCATAGCTGGCTATATATTATAACTTTGTAATATAATAATGAAATAAGAGCCTGTATGTACAGCTATTTTTCTAAGAAGTGAACAGTGTAGCCTAAAAAATTTGATGCCTCAACATTATTAGGAATAAATTCATATTGTTCTGTAATAAATTGCCAAATGCCCTACTTAGTGTCACTTTAAAAAAAAAAAGTCAGGTCAGCAATAAATGTCTATCTCATTAGTTGCCTATAGTGACACAACATAATAAAGAGTATCTATATTTTAAATTACTTTTGCTCAATCTTAGAGAAATCATTTTGGCAAATGGGTTAATATCAGGCCTGGAACTTAAACACAAAGCAGCTGTTGTTGAGCAAATAGCATGTTCATCATGTTAATGTGCTTTCAATGAACAAACTGGAACGGACTGCTAAACATCACCTCTTCCATGTTCATCTACTCTTTGACTTTCTCAATGACTGATTTGCTTTTTCAGCAGATTATTTACTTTAACTGAAAGAGGAAAATTTTTATTTAAATAATCAATATTTTCCCCCCCATTTCAGAATTTTCTCAGGAAAAATGGGGATTTCCAATGTGCCAGTATTTAAAGGAAGAAAGATGGTGCTGTGGTCGTAATGCCAGAATGTCAGCATGTTTGGTATGCTTATATTTCTTTTCTGGAGTAAGGGCTTTATCCAGATGTTGCAGAATGTATTACTTTTGGCCAGTGTCAAGCCTTTCATGTCATATTTTTTCTGAGAATCATCACTAATGTTTTTATGCATTGCAAATTATAAGAGAAAAAGTATTTTCCTTTACATCATCCACTCTACAGTCATTCTTGTCACAGTTTTTCTTATATAGAATTACATTATATAAAATATACCAACTATCAAGTCTTAAGCACAGAATTAGTTCAGTGCTTTATCTACCACTCTATATTTGTTTATTGTAGATCATTTGTCCCAATAATCTTTTATAGAATGGGAAAAATATTAAGCTACCTGGGATATGAAGTGACTATCTAGTTAAATAAAACTTTTATTGTACTGTATTTGATCAATGTCCTTAGACCCACATTAGCCCATGGTGTTCTGTGCTCATGGCTCATGTTGGTTTATAAATGAATAATTTAAATGGTGTTAAGTGGTTTCCTATCATTTGAAATTTAAAATGTTGCAGTTGTATAAGATGACTAAATCTAGAGCTCCAAAGTACAGGGACCAGCAGATGGCGAAATGTTTACATCACTGGACTCCCATGTACTTGTCTACAGTTCAAGTCCCAAACACCACACCTTAAAACTCATGACAGACACATGCGCATGTGTGCCCAGAATCCTGAGAAGAGAATAAAGGATAAGGGCCTGTGGTGTAGCCATCCCTCTGGGAGGTGATTTCTCACTTTCTCTCTCTGTTTATCTCTGTCTCTCCAGCAAGTGTGTATGCCCTATAGCAACAAACTCTAAAAATAATAAAATAAAAATAAAGTACAACATGAAAACTGTGATTAATTATCTTGTATTATATACCAGGAATTTTCTGAGGGTAGATTTTAAGTGCTCTTTCCTTACACACAAAAAATGTAACTGAAATAATAGCTATATTAAGTTACTTAATTATAATAGTCATTTTGTTATGTATATTTACATCAGATTGTATACCTTATATGTATACAATAAAAAAGTTTTTAAATAAAATAAAATGTAGTTGAGTAAGTGTTGAACGTTCAACCATAATGTAAATTAATTATCGTAGGCCCTGTTACTTCTATGCCACCAGTATCAGACATAGTATACCAGGGCTCTATATTATGTAACCTAGAATTCTCTTAGAAATCTACTTATACCCAAATCGTAATTTCTTCGTGGAGCCCCACTTGAATATTTTTTGAAAATTGGTCTTGTTCTTTCATTTTGTCTGTACATGATACTTTTTTTTTTTTAGAATGACAGGTCATTGTCAACATGACTTGTTTCCCAGAATATTGGCAGGCAGAGTTATATTCTGCAGGCAAGAAATTGAAATAATATAGCTTAGGGAAACTGACTTGCTTACGGGGGAGGGGAGGAAGAACCCTAAAAATGTTGGCATCAGGGATTTCCAGTGAAGAGAATAAATCTATCAATCTGTCCCTCTGTGGTAAGGCCCACAATGAGCAGCTCATTGTGGGCCTTACCACAGAGGGACAGATTGTATATGACTCCACTGTAAAAGCCTCTTCCATATGAAAACCTAAAGATCTGAAGCAAATATGGATATTTTAAATTGGAATAGCAAATATATGTAGACCTATTACACTTCCAATACTTTTCTTTATATTTGAACAATTAAACTTTTTAAAATAAAATAGCACAATGTCTCTACTCAGGTTTATGGCACCCCATTTTAATTAACAACAGACTGCCAAGAAAGAACCAAAATAAAAATCTTTTTGAAAAATAGATCCCATAGCTAGCTGACCGTGGTGTTCTTAAGGACTATCCAATGTCCTCCTCCTGGGGAATGCCCCCTCCTTAGCTCCATTTCAACCCTTACTTGCCTTCACTTCTATTTTTGATTCCAAAGTAATATTGGGCATTTTAAGAAACTTTTTTTTTTTTTTGCGCATCTTGGTTATTGCCTTTTGCTGTATAACTGACCTTTTCTATAACCATTCAAAGCTTAAAGGGCTGGAAAAAAGAGAGAGAAAGAGGTAAACCTTTCTGGGGAGTCTTATGGAATAGTCATGGGTTCTAACCAGAAATAAAATTTTAATTAAATCAGAACAGTCTTGTCAGCATACTTTAAGCCTGAGAAAATGAAAATTTCTAGATCAGTATGATATGAACTCTTGCCTTATTTTCTTCATTATCTTTGTTTACTGGCCAAAAACAATATTAATGTTTCCAAGAAACTTATTACTTACCTGATTCACTTATAATATGTAACAAAACTTACAAATTGTATGTCCAAAACATGTTCATCAGCAAAACATACCAAAAGTAGTCCCATTTTATATATTTTTGTTAACACCAAATAATTTATTTTTGAAAATTATTTTGTTTCTTTAATTTAGCCTTTAGCAAAATCCATAACAAAAATATAATCTGAAATTAACATAACCAGTACTGTAAATAAAAACTTATAGTTATTTTCAACAATAAATATTTTGAGACCTGTTGCTACTTAACTTCATATGAAAATTATGTAAGGACTCTCCTACAGTTATAATGTTGTAATCTTCAAGTAAATGGGAAAAATTTATTTTTTCTTAAATGACTTCTAGAAAGCAACTTTTCATACTATCAGTTTTTTTCTCCAATAAATCTATGTGGTGTGAAGGCATGAAAAGTAAACCAGTATTCAAAGAACAAGTTTTTAGATTTCTGCTCAGCTTCTGACTAGCTGTGCAACTTGAGAAAAATCTTTCGGTGACCTTGTGCATTAGTAAAAACTATACTTATACAAGATGGTCTATGAATTATCTTTTAATTTTTAAAGTATATGACTCCACTGTAAAAGCCTCTTCCATATGAAAACCTAAAGATCTGAAGCAAATATGGATATTTTAAATTGGAATAGCAAATATATGTAGACCTATTACACTTCCAATACTTTTCTTTATATTTGAACAATTAAACTTTTTAAAATAAAATATCAAGTGACTTTTCAATTCTAATTTAGTTATAAAATTATATTAATTTGGAGGTGTCTCTAAACAATGAAAGTTCCAGAAGGCCTTGTTCCATATTGAAATTATGACAAAACTTCCATATATAGTATATGACTCCACTGTAAAAGCCTCTTCCATATGAAAACCTAAAGATCTGAAGCAAATATGGATATTTTAAATTGGAATAGCAAATATATGTAGACCTATTACACTTCCAATACTTTTCTTTATATTTGAACAATTAAACTTTTTAAAATAAAATATCAAGTGACTTTTCAATTCTAATTTAGTTATAAAATTATATTAATTTGGAGGTGTCTCTAAACAATGAAAGTTCCAGAAGGCCTTGTTCCATATTGAAATTATGACAAAACTTCCATATATATTGGATTGTGAGAATTTATTAGAATTTATTGTTTTTTGAAGAGGTTTTTGCTATAGGGCTCGTGCGCTCACCAGACAGAGAGAGACAGAGAGACAGAAAGTGAGAAATCACCCCCCAGGGGGATGGCCACGCCGCAATCCCTTCCCCTCCACTTTCCTCTCAGGATCTTGGGCATGCACGCACATGTGCCCGGCGTGAGTTTTAAGCCAGTGGGTCCAGGACTCAAACCATGGTCGACTACATGAGAGTCCAGCGACATAGCCATTATGCTAATTGCTGGTCCTGAGAATTTATTAGAAGCGTTAAAAAAATAATTTTAATTATGTAGCAATGAAATATAAATTTAAAACTGTTACGTATAAAATCATAAAAATGTGTACTATTTTTTGCCCTACCTGGTGGTCTACCTCATGCTCAATATGTGAATTGACTTCACTTTGCAGACCAAGTAGGCCAAAAATGTACATACTTTTCAACTATAAGCTGTTTATTTTCTTCACTAAAAGATGAAATAATGCGGTTATCAAAATGTGCAAAAACGTATGGTTAAATGCAGTATATCAGTATGCCTATAGAATGCATGCATAATAATAGCTTTGCATTTATTTGATTACTCTAGCTACAGTAAAAGGCAAGAATAATGTCATTTCATATCTTTCTTATTTTCTAATTCCTTCTGAAATTCAAGGATTGTATATAATTGGAATTGAATTTCAAGGATGTGTTTGTATATATGACACATCCATTATAAATCAGCCCTAAATAATATAAACACACTAGTTAACACTATTTAATATTAACACTTTTAAGTGTATAAACGTATATGTTATCACTTAATTAATCTTTTTAAATGTCACTTTTACAAGCCCTTGTACAGTGTGTTTATAAATCTTATAAGATAAGACTAAATATGTAAGCAATCTTTGTCTTGTTTTTTCTCCTTAAAGGCATTGGAACGAGTTGAAGTTGGCCAAGGGGTAAGTGTTTTAACTCTTACCCAATTGATGAACCTGATAGTTCTTCTCTCAAGTATTCTTCATACTTGACCTGCTGATGAACTTAAAACCTGATGGATTTTAATAACTATAACCCCTACTTGTCAGCAGGGCATATTCAAACTTACACATTTGTAATTTTACTTATAGTGAACTTTTAGAAAAGTACCTTGAACCAGGAAAATTTCTATACCATACTCTTATATTAGCTTTTCATTTCCTCATACAGAAGAGTCTATATTTCTAAAGGATTCTGTTATTGATTGCCAGACTTTTATAGGCTTAGATGAAGTGAGGATAGGTAAGGTGTAACATTCAGTGCATTTTTTTAACTATAGTCCAACACATAGTTCAGTTTGTTTTTTGATAACTTTTTTGTCAATTTGATAGTCATTAACTGTAAATCCCAAATGGTTTGAACACATAAGCAGATGTTAAATATTTCCCCTAAATATGCATGTAATTACTTTATCTTCTATCTCATGGTCATAAAACATTGGGAAATTTTTAAGAGATTTTTAAAAAAATCTTTTTAGAAGGTTTTTCTTCTTGAGTTTTATAAGGTTTTTCTTCTTCACTTTATCTTAATTTTTTTTTTTTTTGGAGAGGTTTTTGCTATAAGGCTTGTGCGCTCGCCAGACAGACAGAGAGAGACAGAGAGACAGAAATCACCCCCCAGGGGTGATGGCCATGCTGCAATCCCTTCTCCTTCCCACTCCTCTCAGGATCTTGGACACGCACACACACGCGTCCGGCATGAGTTTTAAGCCACCAGGTCTGGGACGCGAACCGCGGTCGACTACATGGGAGTCTAGCAACATAGCCATTACGCTAACTGCTGGTCCCAAGTTTATCTTAAATTTTATAAATTCTTAAAAAATAGTAATAATTAAAAAAGCAGTTTTAATAACAACAACAACTGTCCTTTACTGAGTGCTTTAACTCTGGATCAGAAATACAGATAAGCACTTTATTGCTGTTATTTTAATGTATTCTCTGTGCTTATCTAAAAATTGCTACCAATGGATTCTTTTGAAGGCATTAGAGTGTATTAAATATGTGGACCTTTATGCTCAGACTGCTGGTTTGCAACCTGTCTTTGTTACTTACTGTTTTATTTTGGAGAGGTTTTTGTCATAGGGCACGTGCTAACTGCTGGTCCCCATCACTTACTGGTTTAATGATATCAGTCATATGTCATAATTTCTTTGTAACTTAAAAAAGTATAAATAACAATAATAATAGGAGTAATAGTAATACTTTTCTCATAAGATTTTTGTGAAGATTAAATGAATTAAAGTTTGGGACCCACACATGGTGTAGTAGGTACGTCACTGGATTCCCACACGGGTGACCACGGTTGGAGTCCTGTACCTGGTGGCTTCATAATCACACCAAGTACGTGTGCACACATGCCCAAGATCCTGGGATGAGAGTGAAAGAGAAGGGATTTTGGCCTGGCCATCGCTCCTGGGGGTGATTTCTCATTTTCACTCTCAGTGTTGCTGTCTGTCTTTCTCTGGAGAGTGCACACACCCTAAGGCAAAAACCTCTTAAAAAAAAAAAAGAAAGAAAGATATGAAATGGTTAAAACAATGTCTAGCACATAGTAAACACATAATTAATACTTATGGTCATGAAAAAAATAGTTAAATCTAATACAGAATATACCAAAGTACTGTTCAATATTCTTCTCATCAAGTCAGGGAATACATACTTAGTACTATGAGGTATGTACTATTACTACCTCATGGTACACGCGAGGAAACTGAGGTAGCAAATGCTGAAATTTGAGTCTAATTCTGGAGTTCAGACTCTGAAATTTGATGCTACATAGTAACTTAGCAGTTCCCTAGGGATTTGGGAAAAGAAAGATTCTTTATGATAAGAATGCCCCCATGCATTTGTATGGTGTTATTTAAATTTCCAAGCTTTTGCTCAGGCTTACAGTCAATCTTGGAGTTCAATATTACTTCAAACTTACAGGAAAATATGAAACACATTCTAGCTCCCAATTAATTGCAGAGTCCTGATTTCTAGTTTATTGCCCTTTCCACTAATCTGTTAAATGCTTGTGTAATACATATCTTTTAAGGGTCTATATGCTTCCTGCTCCCTCTCACTTTAGAATGCATTAAAATGTTAAGCTGATTTATCACGTGAGGGAAAGAAAGTAAACTCTGAGCTGCTTCCAGTTTATTCTTGGAATTGTCAAGCACAGACTGATGAGAGATGTTGACTCCCTTCCCACTTACCCCCATTTACATTTATCAAGATGGATAAGTTATTCCAGGAATGCACATTTTAAGGGCACTTTGTAATGCTTCCCTTTCTCTTAGGAAATATCTGTAAAGTTCTACTCAGGGTGACTTGGGAATGATGTTTTATTCTATTTTAATTATATTTCTGTGTGTGCAGTCATTTCTTGATGTTCTCTACAATTGTTATTAAAAATATAAATACACATTTATTTCTAAATTATCTTAATACTGTTATATACTTTTTCACAAAGGCATGAGAGAGAAGATGTTTATTTTCAGGAATGTCATATAAAATTAAAGTTCCCATTTATTATAAATAGTCAAAAAATTAAGTTTATAAACTATTTATAGTATTAATATTGCACCTCATGCATTCATAGATTTGCCAAGATACCTTGATATTCAGTAGATATTATAAGAGTAGTTAATGTGTAAAAGGGGATTTCAGCATTTTTGTGAGAAAAATGAAAGGATTGTGAAGGACAGATGATAAAGTGGAGATTTTGGTGCTCTAGAAAAGTTACTCAAGATGAAAAAAGATATGAAGAGATAAGCAATTCTAAATGAAATGTTTTGGTGCAAATTTCAAGGAAAGGAAGGTTTCAAAATCAGTTTTATTCCTGTCTCAAGTGAAGGAGCTACTAGAAACGAGATTTTATATAAAATTGTGCCTTTTAAAGGTTATTAATTTTAGTATGAACACTCAAGTATGTATGTGGGTCTACTGTCAGTGAGTTATTTTTGGAGTTGATTTGGGGACTGTGGTATCCTAATACCATTTTCTACTGGAATCACCATGTTCACTACTCCAGCATTCCCAGGTATTCCTTCAAAGTGCTTTTGTTCTTGAATTACAGGTCACAAATAAGTTATAAGTGAAAATAAATTTTGTCTTACAAAGGAAAACAGGAGTTACAACAGGATAAGCAGTTGACATACACATTCCCCTGAACTCTTATCTTAAAAACTCTACAAACCATTGGATGGTTTTTAGTTTCACCTTATTTCACTTCTCAAAAGCATTCAGTTATTGTTGACTTCTCTCCATTCTTGCTTTTCCTTTTTCTCTTACTTTTTTTTTTCAATAGTAGTTTTGCATGGAAGTTGGTTGCCATTACCAACTTTATTTCATTTTGAATGTTCCTATATTTTCAATATCAAGAGATCCGTCAGGATGTGGATAGGGCTCTGCTGGTTTTTTTCTTAGTTCAAATGTCACTTTAGTGAAGTGATCTTTATTTTATAAATAGTAACTTTTAACCTTCTGATTCTTTGACACTATCGCTGGTGCCCTTTTCTTCAGCCATGCCTTCTTTTCTTTAGAAAACCTTGGAGTATTAATGGAACACTTCCCATTTCTTTTCTCCCAAAGTGAAACCTTTCCGAGAATGCACTCTCTTATCATATGTTCTTTCATAGGCTCTACTTATCAACTCTGCGATAGACAATGCTGTCACCTTTCAGACATCAGACCTGTCTTTAATATTTTCTTACCTAGGGTAGTATCTTCCCTTTCTGAGTGTGAATCGTAATTGATATTATCTCTATTCCACCTCTATTAGAACAAAACCACCTTCTCTTCTCTTTTACACATATTCTTCCTGCCCCTTGCAGGCTTTAGAGCTGACACAGCTGGTCTTGAAAATGTATTTCTAGTTTTTAACTGGTAAGCAGTTAAAAATTAGGAGTATTAGCTAATTTGTTGGTAAGTATGACTTTTCTTTCTTATTCATTATTTTTTTTTTTCTGGTGTCTTCGTTTTTTTTTTGTCAAATTATTTTCACAGTGAGAATTAGCCTCAGGATAACACTTTAACATAGAATGGAAAAATTACAAAGTCCTCTATGTTTAGCAAAAAAATTTCTAGCGTTCACTTATGGTCCCAACTCTCTGGCATCGATTTTATTTCTATTTTTTATTTCTTTCTTGTGCTTATATATGTCTACATTTTTTTCAGCTGCCTACTGAATCACTCTTCTATCGTGCTGTTCTTCAGGATATTATTAAAGATTGTTATGGCATCACCAAATGGTATGAGGATTTTATTTTAATAAGAATAACTGTTATACTGTAAGTGAAATGACTTTTAGTCTTCAGGTGAATTTTTGCAGGGTCACTGTTACTGAAGGAAGAAAGTTTGAAATTGAGAATAATGTCAGCGAGTAACAAATGAGTACCCAGCAGCTGTATCTTAGGTTAATCCTCACTAAAGTAGAGTCTCTAATGATTACTTCTTGTCCTGAAAGGCTGTTATAATGATAAAGTAATATGTGTAAAACGTACTTTCGATTTTCCAAGTATTAAAATGTTACATATAAGGAGTTCTGTGACTATATTATGAGTAAGAATTATATTTAGAGCATTTTACAACCCCCGTACTGTAAACACTTAACTAATTAGAGAAGGTATCAATCATAAACAACCTAGTTTTCTGACAGTCATTTGGTATAACAGTATTCTTTTTCAAATAAAAACAGGATAAATTTCAGCTTCTCAAAAGCCAATCCACACCTATTAACAAAGATTGAAAGAACTTTTAACTCAGCTTTTCTTTCTCTATTAGAAAAATATCTATTATTTTACTTAGAGAAATTTCTATATACAAATATTTATACATACTATTAATTGTGTTTCTGTGTACGTAATTCCTGTATCTGTATCCTAGTCCGCATCATCTTGTCTGTATGATTGCCAGTCTTCAAAATGGCTAACCATGATTTCAGCATTCTCCTGAAAACTAGCTCCTTTTCTTTAGTGCACCCCAAAATTCTAACTTTGCTGAAAAGTCATAAAATTGGGCAAATTCATGTCCACGCAAATATTGACTACTTGCTTTCTTTTAAGACCTCAATTCCGTGTGTAAATATTTGTACTATTTTCTTGATGATCTTTTAAACACACCTCCCATGTTTTTCTAAACCTACATTCTCACTTAAAGTCTATACTTTTTAACTCTGAGCTGTTCGGTCTTCCTTGACTTAGAAGATAGCTAGCATTTTTAATATTTCTTTCATTTCAAGCCTTTATTGACCTTGTAACCCCATTTGTCCATGCAGACAATTGTTTTTTCTCTGAACTCATTGTCTTCCCTTATGCTGCTTTCTTCCGAGTTCCTTTTCCCTACTCTAAATACTCCTCTGTTTTCTTTAAAGGTTCTTGTCCTATTCCACCCCTTTAGTGTACCTAGGCATTATGTATGTTTTATAAGCAGCTCCTGTCTCTATTTTTTTGTTTCTCTTACTAATCACCTTACCATAAATAACTCTTAATACATGTAATTAGCTCCCCTTTCTTTTTAGAAGTCCAAATCTACATTTCTCACATTTTTCTTAAGCTTTATTTAAATACCTTATAAAAGTGCTAAATTCAGTTGTGTCCAAAAGGCAACATGTCATCTGTACCCAAAAACCAACATGATCTTCTCAGTAATTCTATTCCTCTTTCTGGCCTGACCATTATCAAGGTCTTGAAATCATACTTAATTCTTGAAATCATATTTGAAATCGTATTGAATTCTTTTCAATCATCACTTATGTTTTTTAATATAGCAGTTATTTATTGTATGACAGACAGCTTACTATGTTCTGATGAATATTAGTGCATAGGATATGTGTTTAAGCAGGAGCGTTTCATATTCTAGTCACAATGGCATGTATAAAACTAAACAACATAAGAGAAAACCACTTCCAGTAACAGCAGACTAGATCATTAGGAACGGCCCTCTTTCTGGAAAAAAGCTAAAAATGCTTGGAAAAAAGCTAAAAATGCTAGACATGTGTGCATGTGTGTGTGTGTGTGTGTGTGTGTGTGTGTTTAAATTTTATTTTCATTGGTTTGAAGAACCTGCCAAAGAAATGAAGAATTATAATGCAGATATCTATTTTGTTTAAATATTTATTTTATTTAACTTTAGTTTAATTTGACCAGAGGGGCAGAGAGAGAGAGTGAGAAAGAGAGAGAGAGAAAATGTAAGAAACCAAGCCATCAAGTCCAGGGTTCAAACCACAGTTAGCCATGTGGGAGTCCATCACCCTTAACCTCCATGCCACCTGCCAGCCCCTGTAGTGCAAATACCTAATGGAGAAAATGGTTACCAAGGATAGGAGCTAACCTTTCTTCGTTGTTCTTTTGTTTTGTTTTTTGTTTGGTTTTCTACTTTTTTTCTTCAGTTTCTAAAGCAGGATATTTGCACTCACTGGAGAAAGACAAAAAGGGAGAGAGGGAAAAAGATAATCACTCCCCACTCAGACACACAGGGATGATGACCATACCACAGTACCTTCTCCATTCTTCTGCAGAGATTTTGGGCATCTATGCACATGTTCGTGTGTGCCCAAGATCCTGGGAGGTGAATGGAGAAGGGATTGCAGCATGGCCATCCCATCTGGGGGGTGATTTCTCACTTTCTCTCTCACTGTCTCTGTTGTAGTCTCTCTCTCTCTCTCATGAGTGCATGCACTTAAGGCAAAAACCTCTAAAAAAAAAATCATCGTCATGATCTAATGTACTCCTGATTTGGGAGGGGTGGGGAGGTAATTCTCAGAGGCCAAAATGAATTAAGCACAGGAATTCAAGAGCAGGGAACCCTGAAACCTACTTTCTCCATAGAGGCATCTCTAGAATCCTCGTGACTTTTCAGTTATTTCTTTTCATAGTGACCCAGGGTGGGAGGGATTACATAAATCCTGCTCCCACAGAATGATCCACTTACAAACATGTGACAACAAAAAGCTGTAATTTCACTGAATGATGATCTAGAAATAAAACTCTCTAAAGAACAATAAGGAAACTTAATTATATAGACACTGACATGAGAGTGGAGGAAAAAAAATCTTTCTTAAAAACTTATAACTACAGTCTTCCTCAGGAGGATTTGTTCAGCAGTCATACAACCTGTGTGATCAGAAACACTTTAATACAAAATTCATTTTTAAAATGTGTGATTAAATTGCCTTAATTTGTGACATAATTGTACATATTTATGGAGAATAATGTGGGGTTTTTTGTTCATACTTACAGTGTGTTATGATCAAATCAGGATAATTTGCATGTCCATCATCTCAGACATTTGTCAGTACTTTGTGTTGCAAGTGTTTCATTTTAATTTTGCTTTTGCTGTGTTAATTAACTATTACACAGTCTATACACATGTTAAAACAACATGTGGTATACAATTAATATTTACAATTTTTGTCAACTTAAGGAAGATTTTTTTAACTGGAAGCAAATAAGTAAAACAACATGTGGTATACAATTAATATTTATAATTTTTGTCAACTTAAGGAAGATTTTTAACTGGAAGCAAATAAATAAAACTATAGTTTCTAGCTTACAAATTAGTAAATAGAGAAATACAGAAATGAAGAAAAAATTAAATCAGTCCAAAAGAGTTTGTAAGAATGAAGGCAGAAAAAAACAAAAATCAGAGAAAATAGAAAGCACAAGTTTAATGCTGTCCTAATCAGAAAAAAGATCTGAGTAAATTAGAAACAGTTGGTAAGGGTACCTCATTAACTTGGAAATGAATGTGTGCCCTAATAGACACATCAAATGCCAAGCCAAATAAAGTCACATTAGAACTAGTCTTGCTAAATGTCAGGAACAAAACAAGGATACTTGCTACTGCACTTGATACAGCATACTAGAAATCATAGCCAACACTGTGAGACTAGAAAAATACTAATAAATGAACGTTTCAATGCTTAGAAAAAAAAAAAAAAGGAAAGCTTTGGTTATTTGCCACAGGTATGATAGATACAGAGAACATCTAAAGTAATCTACAAATTATTAAACAAAGAGCTTAGGAAAGGTGATCAGATATTTTAAAATCTACTTCATTTCCTAGTTTTGGTTCGGGAACATTCTTTTTAAGAATCACTTAGAATTTCAATTAAAAGATGAATTGTCTGGGAATAGACTAACAAAAGAAATATAACTTTCATGAAGAAAATAATAAAATGTAAAGAATATTAAGACTCCTATATAAATGGACAGATAGGCCATGTATATGGATAGAAAGACTGTTGTATAGATGTCAATTTTCCAGTCATTCCTAGATACTGCAGTTCAGTCCATGTAATGAACATTCCACACGGGCCATTACATCAGTGTGTGTGTGTTTCTGTGTGTATGTATAGAGTTTTTAAGTTGTTTCAAAATTTATGTGGAAAAGCTAAAGATCAAATGAAGCCAAGACACACTACTGAAGAAAGAAAACAAGGTTGGGAGTGTTTGTTTCTCATGAAAGAGAGTGCATGCAGGAGACAGAAGACCCTCCACAGAGACCCATCATACCACACACTCCCTTCCCCAGCCATCCAGCTTGTCAGGATATTGGGCATGTGTGCATGTTTTTAGGATGTGGGGATCCAACCCCACAGTTGACCATGTGGCTTCCAGCCCTGCAGTGCATTTTGCTACTGATCACACTACCACACTAGACCTGGAAGTCTTTTTTTTACCAGATACTAACACTGATTTTTGAGCTAGTGATTTAGACAGTTGCCAACTTAGCCAATGAAACTAAGTAGAGAGCACAGAGAAAAACACTTCTGGCATGACATTGTTGATCATTGGATGGAAGAGGGACTAGTCATCAAATAGTTCTTGGACAGTAGTATTATTTGTTTGTTTGTTTTATACAAACAAAAGTGTATTAGTTTCCTTTGCTACTATAACAAATTACCACAAATTTATGGGCTTAGAACAGCAGAAATATCTCATCTAAATTTCTGTAGGTTACCCATATGAAATGGTTCCACTGGTCTAGAATTCACACATCAGCAGGGCTGCATATTTCTCTGGAGGATATGGGGAGTAATCTATTCCCTTGCTTTTGACAACTTCTAGAGGCATCTGCATAGGCTCATGGTCCCTTCATCTGCAAAGCCAGCAGCATAACATCATTCTCTGACTCTTCCTCTTCTCCCTCCTTCGTCTGTTGGGTCACTGGAAAAGTCATCACATATTTTTCTATGTTTTTCTATGCAAAAATGCGTCAACTTTTCCAACAGCGCAATACCTTTAAGGAT